ATTTTGAGAGTGTTTAATGATGTCTTCCTCGCCCGTCACGCCATGACCCAGTTTCAACCACACGGCCATTTTGCAACAAGTGCGTGACCCTCGGCGTGACCCGACTGACTATATGATCGTTCTGTTCAACTGTTAAGCTAGGATTTATTACCGTTATTATCATTATATTGTCACATGATTTGTTTTACCTTATGTGTAATGTCTTAAGTATCTTTATTGTAATTTGTATATACCAATTCGTATATACCGAGGAAACGACCCCGATTGAAGGTCATGTATTTTGTGACGTCACCAATTCATGTGTAGGTACGGCTTCTAGATCCGTGCCAATAATATAATACAGATATAAACAAATAAACAAAAACATAACCAGTAAATTGAAAATTATGACGTGTTTTATAATACCTTAGATCGGCACTTTGGATATTCATGGTCCCCGTCTAATATTTTAAACGACAGTGGTACACGGTCAGGTCGTCTATTAGCACTGAACGATTCCCAGATAGCTTTATGTACAGCGTTATATATAACATCCAGTCCAGTCAACGCGACAAACCCCAAAGGCCGACATATTAGTTCAGGAGGAAACTCTCCCACACCAGTAGGGACCGTGAAGCTTTCCACTGCTGACATTGCACACGACTTAAAAACTCAAAGTGCGTGACGGACTTCTTTGACACGTTGCTTTATACGATTCGATGGCGATATTTTGCAAAATATCAAGTCAGCCACCATCAAAATAAAAATGTTGATTAATCCCACAGTCGTGGATTATTACTTATTTACAGTAACAATATTCAAATACAAATGTATTTTGTTATATGCTGAGAGTTTTAATTGAAATACCACACATAATTCCTAAAAGCAATAATGTCAAATATTACAGTATTAATATTTCAGGTATGTAGCATCTTTGTAACGAATGATTACCTTACGAACCCACAGTATAGAAATATAAATAATAGAATAACAAAATTAAAGATGGCGCTGCCCCGTGAAAGCATGGTTGCCGATATCAAAGAAAAAACTCAACAGTTTCTTTCAAGCAAAGAGCATTCAAACGGTTTTGTCGACATTTTGGAATACATGCAAGTATGTAGCAATTGAAATATTTATTAAGATTGCGAAATCTGTTGTAAAATTAACAGAATACCCATCTATCTCAGACAGTCTGAGTTGTTGTTATTCATCTTCAAGTTAGGGATGATCCATTTGTAAAGGAGGTGTGGGAAATTTTCACGCATGCATAACTGTGACAAACTTCATTGCCCACCTGCTTTTGTTCTCATATTAGCTGCAATGCAGGTAACACTTCTTCAGGGCCTCACACCCATAACTCCAGGGGCGTCGATTCATTCTGTAAAGTGATGGGGACACTTTTGTGTCCGCGTAAACGGCCAATGCCCGCGCTTGCGCGAACAGGAGGGTGTCTGAGAAGGGGGGACTGCCTTATGTTGCGACATCTCTATGTTCCGACACCACTATGTTCCGACACCCCTATGTTCCGACACACAGTATACTTGTGTCAAACATAATCTGACTAGCCGTGCGTGACCTTTTACTACCTTGATATAACCAGGATGTCCTGTGGGTTAATACTGGAAATCCAACTGTAGTGTAGTCCTGCCATGATGCTTGAAAGTCCGTGAAGGCGGGATCTTGCATAATGTTATTGGATAATTATGAGAGAATTATCAAATAATGTTGCCCATTGTATCATTCTAATACTTCGACAATTATTTGACAATATCCGTGTCTGTTGGATGTGGTTCCAACCTTAAATCCTCTGATTGCCTAACTATCGAAGTTTTAGATCAATAATTATCGGAGAATTATTTTACCTTTTTTATGAAAGTTGTATTTCGATATTCATCAGTCGCGGAATTGCAAGGTTGCCGTTTACATCCGGTAGCACCTTTCCAAGTTTATCTACATATTAATTAAAATCATTTATTTATTATGCGAGAGATGAATAGGCACTGCATTTAGCATTCCGTAGTGTTTGCATAAGTTTTCGAGATTGCCAAAAAATACAAAGGTTTCACACTATCTCTTTCCATTCCTATATTGTGTGTTTTCGACCAACATTCCTTGTTTACCTCCACACGTTATACGTTTTTCTATCAATCTAAGACACTGATATGTCTCAGAGAATTCCATGTTGAAAAAAATTAAACCACCACCCAGCTGTATACCCTGTCTAATATCAATCTAAAACATTGAGAATTATCAGATATTTATCCGATAATTCAAATGTACAATAGACCGGCTTCCTCTAATGCAAGGATATTGCACAAGTTTATACTACCTGCAAATTTGAAGCATAATTCATCGTTCAAGGTTAAGGTCCATATTAGACAGATCTCCTTAAGGAAGTCAGAAAGCACTATTCTATTCTACTCTTCAGTGTTCCATTGCATTGTTCTGATATTCCTCTTTATTCTGAAAATATTCCCATATGTTACACTCATAAATTACAGTTGGTATAATACACAATTTAAATACTTATCTTTATATCTGCCAAAACATGTATATCCCGTATTTATACTTTACATTATTTCTTTGTCAATATCCTTCATGTTCTGCAGATGTATTTGAAACTGCCTATTCGCTCCATTGTGCAGTCGTCGATTTTGTATTTTATGTTTGTGTAAATTACTCAAACTTCTTTGCTACATATGTTTAATTTACTTATTTAAATCTTAGGTCAGGCAACGTCTCTTCATCTATTTGAATTCCATTTTTATCTATATGTAATTTCTTGGCAGTGTAATAGCGTTCTCTTAATAAATGATGAATAATAAATTAATAATAATAATAAATAAA